CCGCCCTCGCCGTGGGCAGCACCACCCAGCCCGCCCAGAACTCGGAGAGAACAGGGCCGCAGGGCAGGGGCGAGCTCGGGGCTCTCATGGAGCCTGCGCGTCTCAGTGCTCCCCCTCAGGGCTCAGAGTCCCCGGTGCTGTGGCTTTTCCACTCCCGAACTCGCACCCGTGACCTGGGACTCCCGGCTGTAGCCCGAGACCGAGAAGAACCCGGCACCTGCTGGGTCCTGGTCCTGGGTCCTGCGGACTCGGTGTGCACCTGCTCCCAGCTCTCCTGGTTTCCTACTTGGCAGAAGGCTGCCCCTGGGACTTGGCAGCCGCCATCACAGGTGAGCCCCTTCCTCTGACAGACCCCCTCCCCTGCACCCCTCCTTTGCACCCTCTCTTTGGCTCCCGGGAACCGTGGCATGACGATTCTGAATCCTCTGGGGACATTGCTGGATGCAGAGGTGGGGTCTGGGATTTCTGGGTTCTGGAGGCTTCCATGTGGGGCAGGGGACAAGGATCTCTGTCAGGCGTCATCAGAGCCTCTGCGGATCCCTGCTGTGGACTGTGAGAACCAAGAGGGCTCGCGTGGCTGGGTGGTGGGGCTCTGGGGGCTGCCCCCGACACAGGCGTGCTCTGACCAGCTGCACACTGAAGGGGCTGTGGCAGCGGGCGGCTCCTCCCACACCCCTCCGGGATTAGAACCACCTGCTGGCTGGAAGCCCCAGAGTCCTGGGCATCTCCCCTTGAGGATCCAGGTGTTAAATATCAGGAATGTTTTCCACTGACTCGCAGAGGTCCCAGGAAACGTTGAACCTGGGCCCTGGGTAGTGTGCAGGTTATGTGGGGTGTGGGTTTGGGCACAGGGAAGAGCAGACTGGGGCTGTGGGCGTCCTCTTGGGGCAGGGGCAGCAGGACCCCTGATTAGGCCCCAGTTTTGTTTCTCCTTGGTCAAGCCCAGTCCCCTCTGACACCCACGTGGGCTGTGGGGATCTCAGGAGAACGGGTGCTGCCGGGGCCTCGAGATCCATGCGCAGCCCAAGGAAAGGCCTGAGCTCTGGGCTGTGCTGGTGGCCCGGGTGCTGTGACTCCCTGGCCCAGTTCTGGCAGGAGGGGCCAGGGCCACGGGCAGCAGAGAGAGAGTGAGGTTATGGCTGCGAAGCTCCCAGCAGTGGATGAGCCCATAGGGGAGTCCTCAGGGCAGACAGGGGCTGTGCTGGGGTCTCCCCTGAGATCCGGGACACCAGGACCTGCAGGAGCCCCCCCTGCAGTGTCTGTAGGAAAGGTTTCCCCACCAGGTTGCACACTGGTAGGCTGTGGGATGGCCCAGGTCAGTCACGTTTGCTGGGGCTCCTGCTGTGCACAGAGTTTGTGGTGCTAACACGGGGACCTTCTCTGTCTCCCTCTCTCTGTCCTTCTCCATCTGCCTTCGAAAAAATAAAGAAATCCCTTTAAAACTAAAAGTGGAGCAGCTGGGACCTGAACAGACCTCGTTCGGGACGCAGGCCCCATAAGCCGTGGCTTTACAGCTCCGTCACAGCACCGCTGACTTGAGTGACAGAACATTTGATGTAGCGTCGCGATGCCAGTGACGCTGCACCATGGTTTGAGAGCGATCATTCAGGGGTTGAAGAGAAAGGAGTGGATACACTGAGTCTGCAAAAGGCAAAATTATGGAAGATGCTAAGACCAGAAATGAAAAGGGTTTGAAATATCCTCCAGGGTTTAATTTCAGAAAGCATAATTATCATTCTCTTCAACCTAAGAAAGAATTTCTCTTTTCTTTTTTTTTTTTTTTTAAAGTGGAAAGGCGCCTGTGCAAACCAGCAGAGGGCAGCACCTGCTGCGGTCTCCTGCTCTGACATCAGAAGGCACCATTGTGATGTCATGCCCGCTGCCTGCACAAAGCCTTGGCTGGGCCTGGGTTCTGTCATTTGCCCAGGAAGCGCTGTCCCGGGGACCTGGGGCTGGGAACAGCTGCCTGTTTGTTTTCTTGTTTTGTTTTTGTTCTTCAAGCTGCTGCTGTTTTGGTCCAATTTGTTTTTTCTTTTTGTGTTTTGATTATTTTGTTCTTTTTTTCTATTTTATTTATTTTGATTTCCTCCAGTATTCGTATTCTTTTTCCCTTTTTATTGATTCCTTGGATATTTCATTTCCATTTGGATTTTTTCTTCACTTTTTTCCTTGGCTTTCCTCTTGTTTGTGGTTGTTTTTATATTTTCTTCCATTATTGGGTTTCCCTTTGTCACTTTGTGTTTTTTTTCTAATTTTTATTCCGTTTTTTTAAAGACTGTATGTCGTCTGCTTGGATTGTTATTACAGTGAAGGTTTATGAATTTTTTTCTTTATGATTTATTCCTTTTTTTTGTTTTCTCACTTTTAACTGTTTCGATTGGGTAGTCTCAGTTGTGAGTCTAGTTGAGTTCATTTAGTTCATGTTTTCTGTTGGTGAGGTGAGCTGACTTTGTCCATTTTGTGTTTGAGTTCTCTTCATTTGATTTCTGTTTGTTTCATCTTCTTTTGTGCTCAAGGAGTCAGAGCCGTGAGAGCTGATCTGTGTCAGCTGCTGGCTCGGGGTCTCCCAGACGTCAGCCCTGCTGACCCTTCCTGGGGGAGCCCTGGAGAGGGAGAGGAATCCGGAGGAAGAATCGCATCCTGCGGCTCCTGTTTGGTCAAATTTATTTTTTCTTTTTCCATATTGATTACTTTGTACATTTTCTATTTTACTTTGTTTCCTGCCACCATTCATGTTCATTTTGTGTTTTCTCATTTAACATTTTATTCCATAGAACAGTCTCCTTGTTGGTGTGGTGTAGTGGATACAGTTCATGTTTTCTGTTGGTGACGGGAGCAGAGTGAGTTTGTTCATTTTTGTGTTCTGATTTCTGTTCATTTGATTTCTGTTGTTGCATTTTCATTTGTGCACCACTCGTCTCCCTTCCTGGGAGCCCCGGGAGAGGGAGAAGAATCCCGAGGCCAGAATCGCATCCTGGATGGGGACTTCCTGGGGCGGGGACTGACTACCGGTCCCCCAAGCCCTCTGTGTCCCCAGTGGCTCCCGCGTCCCTCAGCAGAGCGGGGCAGGAGGTGTCCATGGCGGATCCTGGGGCCCAAGCTGAGAAGGCTGTCAGGTGGGACTGTGGTGTCCCCGGGGTGTGTGTGGAAGGGTTGTTACTGCGAGATGGAGCCTGGGGGGATTCTCTGTTGTGGTCTCCCATGTTTGCAGGGGAGGGGTGGTGGCAGTGCGGGCCCCTCTCTCCCCTGCACAGGTAACTGCTGCCCAGTCCGGGTGGCTCTACAAGGTTTAGGATCCAAAGAGGCCCCAGAAACCTGATCTGCACCAACAAGAAGACTTCCTGTGGAAGGACCTCTTGGTGGTAAGGGACTCACCCACAGAGGGGCAGGGTCACCCCAGATAGCCAGGGGGGTATCCACTGGCTTTGCATCTGTGTGCAGGAATGGAGCAGGTGCATAGGGTGGGGGGAGGACTCACACTGATGCCCATGGCCCTCCTTGGTCAGGGGAGAGTGCAGAGGGGCTGTGGGCTTCACCCCTGCAGGTTCTGGAGGCTCCAGCAGCATAGCCATCCTGCGTGGGCTGGCTGTGTGCAGCTCTGTACCAGGGTCTAAGGAGGGGAGAGGCCGTGGCAGCTCCTGACAGGCCCCAGGCTGCAGCAGCCGGGGGTCCCTCTCCTGAGACATGGAGCCGAGGTCTCGGCACTGCTCGTCCTTGCCCTCTGCCCCAGCCCTGGGCCAGGCAGTGTGGCCGAGCGCCTAGGAGCATCCTCACCGCCATCCCATCCTCAGGACAGACAGACTGCCCCGGGGTCTCCATGGGAGATGCAGCAGCTCCCACCTGGACAAGGGAGCGCAGACGCTGGGCAGGTGGAGGTGGGGCTGCCAGGTGCAGGGAGACCGTGTCCTGGGCGTTTCTGTCCTCCCTGCAGGCCATGGCTGCTGTGTCGTAGGCCCCTGGCCCATTCCCCATGGGCGTGGACGGAGGTGAGCGCCCTGCTCCTCTCTGAGACTCAGATGTCCAGGTCCACCCTCCTGAGAGCCCCTGACCTTCGAGTCGGGCCCTTCAGTCCTTGGAGCCTCAACGTGCCCCCCTGGGAGATGGGTGTCTCTGAGGGCCACAGTGGCCCATGAGTCTTGCACACAGGTCCTGCACGGTGCCTATGGGTGGTGAGCACGTGAGAGAGGGGACCGCTCTGTGGTTGCCAGCCTCGGAGGTCCCTGCCGTAAGCTGTAGACCAGGCCAGCAGCCAGGGCTGTGCTGGGGCCTGGCAGGGGTGCTGGCATCCCTATAGTTCTGTGCTGCCAGCACTGCCTCCCCATGTCTGTCCTTAGAGGCCTGAGCCCCAGGGTGGGCATCTCCTCTGGCTTGGACGAGGCACCTGCCACCTCCATGATGGTCTGTGGCCTTGTCACCATTCAAAGTTCCCTGGGGTGTCACAGGGACAGGAACTAGGGACCAGGCCATGGCATGACAGGACCGTGTTCTCCACTTGTCAGCTTGTCCCTGCCCCAGCCCTCTGACCTCTCAAATCCAAGAGGGCCCTGGGGTGACCAAAGGGTCTACACCGCAGATGCTGCAGCAGAGCTATGTCTCTGGTAACCCAGGTCACCTCGAACTTCCACGGGAAGATGGATGCCAAGACATCCAGCTTCAGAATCCTTCCATCTGTGCTCTCCAGTGTTGAATGCCCCTCATCCTCGCTGCCCCAAGGACAGGACCATGTAGCTTCTCTGCCTGCCCCCAGACCACCACCATCGTCCTAAAGAAAATGAACTCGGACACGCCCAGCCTCAGAATCCTCGCCCTTCCCGAAGAGGTGTTGAATGTCACTCGTCCTCGCTGCCCCAAGGACAGGACCCTGTGGCTCCTCTGTCCCCAGGGAGCAGCTGCTGCCTGGGAAGAACCTCGTTGCCTCTGTGGGGGCCATGCATTATCCTGCACTACTGCCTCTGAGCCAGCAAGTTAACCGATTTTTAAGTTTAAAAGAAATCCATTAGGTCAATAAATAGTGGCTGGAGAAACATGAAGGACTCAGTGTGGGTTCGGGCACCTGTGCTCACACGTGGGGAGCGGAGCACTGGGAGCCTGGAGGAGGCAGCTTGGAGCCCCGCCCGGGCACTGGGCTGAGTCCTGGCTCCAGTGCCCCCAGCTGCCACTGCTTTGGTTTCCCACCTTCTGGGGCTCTGTTTCTGGCTCTGTCCAGGGGGTGTGAGTGACAGGAGCACCTGCCTCCAAGGAAGCCCCTGGAACAGCACCAGACTCCTCTGGCTGATGGGTAGGGCTGGGTCCTTAGTGGCCTTGATGTCTCAGTGGGGTTCTGGGAGCTGTCAGCGTCTCTGGGTCCTGGGCTGTGGGGGAGCTGGCTCCTTCCTGTGACCCCCACTGGCCTTTCCTTTGTCCTTGCCCCTTGTCCTTGCCTCTCTGTCCCTCCCCATTGGGAGCCCCCAAGCTTGATTTGGGGCTCTCTCTCCCCTTCTCTGTCCTCTGTTCCTATCCAGTCCAGGTGGCCTCTCTTCCTCCCCTGACCTGGGAGCCCTGGGGTCAGAGCCCTGGGCGTCAGCATCCGGGAGCTGATGCCAGGACCTGGCTCAGGGCTCAGGTTCAGAGACAACTCTTTCCCGGGACTGAAGGAAGCTCCTTAGGCCAGGTGCATGGAGTGGAGTCCATGTGAGGACAGCATTATCACAGAGAAATGGTCACGAGTCAGGCAGCTCCCAGAACTGGAGCAGGTGCTGAGGACTCCACTCCATGACAGGTCCGGCATCATTGTTGGACAGCAGGAAGTGAGGTGGGGAGATCAGCACCAGGGCTCCAGTTCTGTCCCACACCTGCCAGTCGGGCACCTCTTAACTAGTTAATTGCTCACAGCCTAATTAGTGAACTGGATACAGGGCCTTGTGCTTCAGCCACAGCACAGTGCCTGGATGAAGCCATCTGAGTTGTGTCTTGGGCTCAGTGTATGTCCCTTATCCAGTCCGTGGCTTCCCATGAATTTTATTTAACATCTGGTAAGGCTTCCCGTGACGTCTTCTGTCTGGAGGTAGGAAGAGGTGGATGGGTGACGTTTAATTGAATTCTGAAATCGGAATACAAAGCCTTGTTTTAGAAACTTGGTTCTGCGACTCTGGTTGACCCTGGCCGGTGTACTGGGACGGTTGTTCTGGGCATCACCAATGACTGGATCTGGGGAGGCAGGGGGAGCCAGGCCCGGGGTGGAGTCTCAGAGCACCTGCAGGTGCTGAGCCCCCCCTCTCCTGCCCCAGAATGGGAAAGACTGTTTGACCCGGGGGTCTGTGAGTTTCTGTGGAGTCCAGATGAGCGTGTCCAGCACCCGTGGGGATCCTCCCTCGCCATGGGCAGCACCACCCAGCCCACCCAGAACTCGGAGAGAACAGGGCCGCAGGGCAGGGGCAGCTCGGGGCTCTCATGGAGCCTGCGCGTCTCAGTGCTCCCCCTCAGGGCTCAGAGCCCCCGGTGCTGTGGCTTTTCCACTCTGCAACTCACACCCGTGACCTGGGACTCCGGCTGCAGCCCGAGACCGAGAAGAACCCGGCGGCTGCTGGGTCCTGGTCCTGGGTCCTGCGGACTCGGTGTGCACCTGCTCCCAGCTCTCCTGGTTTCCTACTTGGCAGAAGGCTGCCCCTGGGACTTGGCAGCCGCCATCACAGGTGAGCCCCTTCCTCTGACAGACCCCCTCCTCTGCACCCCTCCTTTGCACCCTCTCTTTGGCTCCCGGGAACTGTGGCATGATGATTCTGAATCCTCTGGGGACATTGCTGGATGCAGAGGTGGGGGAGAGGTGGGGTCTGGGATTTCTGGGTTCTGGAGGCTTCCATGTGGGGCAGCGGACAAGGACCTCTGTCAGGCGTCCTCAGAGCCTCTGCGGATCCCTGCTGTGGACTGTGAGAACCAAGAGGGCTCGCGTGGCTGGGTGTGGGCCTCTGGGGGCTGCCCCTGACACAGGCGTGCTCTGACCAGCTGCACACTGAAGGGGCTGTGGCAGCGGGCGGCTCCTCCCACACCCCTCCGGGATTAGAACCACCTGCTGGCTGGAAGCCACAGAGTCCTGGGCATCTCCCCTTGAGGATCCAGGTGTTAAATATCAGGAATGTTTTCCATTGACTCGCAGAGGTCCCAGGAAATGTTGAACCTGGGCCCTGGGTAGTGTGCGGGTTATGTGGGGTGTGGTTTTGGGCACAGGGAAGAGCAGACTGGGGCTGTGGGCGTCCTCTTGGGGCAGGGGCAGCAGGACCCCTGATTAGGCCCCAGTTTTGTTTCTCCTTGGTCAAGCCCAGTCCCTCTGACACCCACGTGGATTGTGGGGTTCTCAGGAGAACGGGTGCTGCCGGGGCCTCGAGGTCCATGCGCAGCCCAAGGAAGGCCTGAGCTCTGGGCTGTGCTGGTGGCCCGGGTGCTGTGACTCCTTCGCCCAGTTCTGGCAGGAGGGGCCAGGGCCTGGGCAGCAGAGAGGGAGTGAGGTTATGGCTGCGAAGCTCCCAGCAGTGGATGAGCCCATAGGGAGTCCTCAGGGCTGACAGGGGCTGTGCTGGGGTCTCCCCCGAGACCCGGGACACCTGGACCTGCAGGAGCCCCCCCTGCAGCCTCTGTAGGAAAAGGACTCCCCACCAGGTTGCACACTGGTAGCCTGTGGGATGGCCCAGGTCAGTCACGTTTGCTGGGGCTCCTGCTGTGCACAGTTTGTGGTGCTAACACGGGGACCTTCTCTGTCTCCCTCTCTCTGTCCTTCTCTCTCTGCCTTCGAATAAATACATAAATCCCTTTAAAAAAAAAAAAAAGTGGAGCGGCTGGGAAATGAACAGACACTCGTACGGGACGCAGGCCACGTGAGCTGTGGCTTTACAGCTCCGTCACAGCACCGCTGACTTGAGTGACAGAACATTTGATGTGGCGTCGCGATGCCAGTGACCTGCACCATGGTTTGAGGCGATCATTCAGGGGGTGAAGAGAAAGGAGTGGATACACTGAGTCTGCAAAAGGCAAAATTATTAAAGATGCTAATACTAGAAATGAAAAGGTTTTGAAATATCCTACAGGGTTTAATTTCTCAAAACACTAATATCTCTCTCTTCAATCTAAGAAAGAATTTCTCTTTTCTTTTTTCTTAAAGTGGAAGGGCACCTGTGCAAACCAGCAGAAGGCAGCACCGGCTGTGGTTTCCTGCTCTGACATCAGAAGGCACCATTGTGACGTCATGCCCGCTGCCTGCACAAAGCCTTGGCTGGGCCTGGGTTCTGTCATTTGCCCAGGAAGCGCTGTCCCGGGGACCTGGGGCTGGGAACAGCTGCCTGTTTGTTTTCTTGATTTGTTTTTGTTCTTCAAGCTGCTGTTGTTTTGGTCCAATTTGTTTTTTCTTTTTGTGTTTTGATTATTTTGTTCTTTTTTCTATTTTATTTATTTTGATTTCCTCCAGTATTCGTATTCTTTTACCCTTTCTTATTGATTTCCTTGGATATTTCATTTCTGTTTGGATTTTTTCTTCACTTTTTTCATTGGCTTTTCTCTTGCTTGTGGTTGTTCTTTATATTTTCTCCCAGTATTGGGTTTCCCTTTGTTCACTTTGAGTTTTTTTTCTTATTTTTATTTCCTTTTTTTTTTTTAAATAAGACTGTGAGTCTTCTGCTTGGATTCTTATTACAGTGAAGGTTTATGAATTTTTTTCTTTATGATTTATTCCTTTTTTGTGTTTTCTCACTTTTAACTCATTCGATAGGGTCAATCTCAATTGTGAGTCCAGTTGAGTTCATTTAGTTCCTGTTTTCTGTTGGTGATGTGAGCTGAGTTTGTACATTTTGTGTTTGAGTTCTGTTCATTTGATTTCTGTTTGTTTCATGTTCTTTTGTGCTCAAGTATTCAAAGCCGTGAGAGCTGATCTGTGTCAGCTGCTGGCTCGGGGTCTCCCAGACGTCAGCCCTGCTGACCCTTCCTGGGGGAGCCCTGGAGAGGGAGAGGAATCCGGAGGAAGAACCGGATCCTGCTGCTGCTGTTGGGTCAAATTTGTTTTTTCCTTTTCCATTTTCATTACTTTGTACATTTTCTATTTTACTTTGTTTCCTCCTACCATACATGTTCATTTTGTGTTTTCTCATTTAACATTTTATTCCACTAGAACAGTCTCCGTTGTTGGTGTGTAGTGGATACAGTTCATGTTTTCTGTTGGTGATGGGAGCAGAGTCAGTTTGTTCATTTTTTTTTTTATTTCTGTTCATTTGATTTCTGTTGTTGCATTTTCATTTGTGCACCACTCGTCTCCCTTCCTGGGAGCCCCGGGAGAGGGAGAAGAATCCCAAGGCCAGAATCGCATCCTGGATGGGGACTTCCTGGGGCGGGACTGACTGCGGTCCCCCAAGCCCTCTGTGTCCCCAGTGGCTCCCGCGTCCCTCAGCAGAGCGGGGCAGGAGGTGTCCATGGCGGCTCCTGGGGCCTGAGCTGAGAAGGCTGTCAGGTGGGACAGGTGCTGTCTGCACGGGGGTGGGAGAAAGGGTTGTTACTGCGAGGTTCTGCCTGCGGGGGACTCTGTTGGGGTCTCCCATGTTTGCAGGGGAGGGGTGGTGGCAGTGTGTTCTCCTCTGTCCCCTGCACAGGTAACTACTGCTCAGTCCAGGTGGCTCTACAAGGTTTAGGATCCTAAGAAGCCCCAGAAACCTGAGCTGCACCAGCAAGAAGACTTCCTGTGGAAGGACCTCTTGGTGGTAAGGGACTCCCCCATAGGGACAGGAACCAGGGAGCAGGCCATTGCATGCCAAGGCCCACGTTCCCCGCATGTAAGCTTGTCGCTGGCCAAGCCCTCTGACCTCTCAACTCCAGGAGGGTCCTGGGGCTACCAACGGGTCTACACGGCAGATGCTGCAGCTGAGTGGTGTCTCTGGTGCCCCCAGGTCACCATGATCTTCCACGGGAAGATGGACTCCAAGACGCCCAGCTTCAGAATCCTCGCCCTTCCAGTAGAGGAGTCAAAGGTCCCTCATCCTCGAAGCCCCAAGGACTGGATCCCTTGGCTCCTCCATCCCCAGGGAGCAGCTGCTGCCTGGGAAGAACTTCATTGCCTCTGTTGGTGCCCATGGATTGCCCTGCACTACTGCCTCTGTGCCTAGAGTTAACTGATTTATGAGTTAACAGAAATCCATTAGGTCAATAAATTGTGAATGGAAAAACATGAAGGACTTAGTGTTGGTTCGGGCACCTGTGGCCTCACACAGAGATCAGAGCGCTGGGAGCCTGGAGGAGGCAGCTTGGAGCCACACCGTGTCCAGGGCCTGGGCTGAGTCCTGGCTCCTCTGCCCGCTGCTGCCCACCTTGGTGTCCCTGCCCCTTGGCCTCTGATTCCATCTCTGTCAAGGGGGTGTGAGCAATAGGAGCCCCTGGTTGCAGGGTGGCTGCCGCGGGAAGCAGCCAGAATAGTTCCCACCTCCCCTGGCTGCTGGGTAGTGCTGGGTCCTTAGGTGCCATCACCAGCCTGGGCGAGGTTCTGGGAGCTGTCAGCCGTCTGTGGGTCCAGGGATTTGGGGGAGGTGGCTCCTTCCTGTGCCCCCCAGGCCTTTCCTTTGTCCTTGACTCTCTGTCTCTCCCCTGTTGGAGGCCCCGAGCCTGATTTGGGGCTCTCTGTCCCCTTCTCTGTCCTCAGGGAGACCCAGGAGCAGCCAGGCCGGGAGCACCTGCACCTCCCAGAGTTCCCTCTTGTTCTCCTGACACAGGGAAGCCCCAGTGCCTACTGTGGCCATCTTCCCTTTGCTGACCTCTTGGCTCCACCCCAGGTCAGCAGTCCTGCCTCTCCTGGGTGTCCCACATCCCACACTGACCTTACCCACGGCCCCCTCCCTGAGATGGTGGTGGTCATTCTGCCTCCCAGGCTGGGGCCAGAGTGAGTGAGGTTATGGCTGCGAAGCTCCCAGCAGTGGACGAGACATCTGAGGAGTCCTCAGGACAGAGGCCGTGCTGGGATCTCCCCAGACATCCGGGACACCAGGAGCAGGCAGGAGTCACCCCGCCATCTTAGGAGAAGGTTGCACACACCAGGTTGCAAACTGCCAGCCCAGGGGCCGGACCTGCTCCCTTGAGTTTGCTGTGGTTTGTGCTGTGTGCAAAGTTGTGGTGCTGAGGTTGACATCTTCAGATACCACGGAACTGTCGGGGCTTCTCTGGGCAAAGGAGAAGTTGTGGCAGCACCAGGCCCCGGGGTCTGTGGCCGCAGTGCCTGCATGTGCTCAGACACGCCCCCGCCCTCTGCAGGTGCCCCCAGAACCCCTGGCTGGGAGAGGCTGGGGTTGGTTTGGCCAAGAACCTTTCCATGTGCAGTGTCTGAGACTCGGCCAGGTGATTCCCACTGCACAGAGCTGTGCTGCTGGGTACTCAGAGCCCCAGAGGCCACAGGCATGAGGGGCACAGGTGAGCCTGGACTAGGCTGCCTTGGTGGTGGGTGCCTGCCCCTCCCCCACTGGCTCCCTGTGGAGCTGGGCCTCTGCCTCAGGCTCAGCTTGCATTTCACAGCCTCAGCTCCACCCCTGCAGACCTGGGCTGTGGGCATTGGCACCTCCTTCACAAACAGGGAAACTGAGGCCGAGATGAAGAGCCAGGCCCCTCCCCAGTGAGCGGTTCCTCCCAGGCCCAGGTGGCTGCTGATTCCTGCCCCGCCCAGGGAGCAGCTGGGGCAGAGCCGGGGCGTCAGCACCCGGGAGCAGCTGCCAGCCCTGGGCCCAGGGGCTCAGTGTGGAGGAGACAGCTCCACCTGTGACAGAGGAACGTCCTTAGGCC